ATATATATATATTTTTAGTTGTCCAGATCATTTCTTTCTATTTTTTAGTAGAGACAGGGTCTCGCTCTTGCTCAGGCTGGTCTTAAAGTCCTGACCTTGAGTGATCCACCCGCCTCGGCGTCCCGGAGTGCTAGGATTATAGGCGTGAGCCACTGCGCCCGGCTGACAGCTAATTTTTAAAGACTATTTTTTAAAACAATTTAATAATTCTTAGAATAAGAAAACAATATTAAAGTGAAAATGTCAAAAAATTTTGGTTCACTTGTCACCAGGTTTGAAAATGTCCTCTAATTTGGCACTTATCAAACTGAAATACATGGAAGTAGGTTCTTGCTATTTCCACCTTACTAATCCTTATTTGTTTTTAATTTATTTAAAAAATTTTTATTTTTAATTATTATGGATACAGAATAGTTGTATAAAGTAATCCTTATTTTTTTTAATTTTAAGGGATATCTAAAAATGTTATAGAGGAAAATTTCAGTGAACTGTGTAAAATATACATAGGGGGAGAGAGAGTAAGCTTTTGATAATTAAGTTCATACAAAGACAATCATGCCATTCTGCCGAAAAGTTTATGCAAGTCTTTACTTTTGTGTAACATTTTAATACAAGATAACAGATGTTAGAGATTTTCAAAATAAAACCACCTCCTGAACAACTACAAAAAATTTGTTTAAAGATGTGTTATTAGATTCAGTGCAAATTTAGCGTAACTTCTATAGTTTCTCTGTAGAAGAGTAATGATTATATTCATGACGATGACCAATGCCAAGGAACTATAGGATTCTGAAGAGCTTTCTGGTTTGTGAAAGTTAGTTTATATTGTATTTAGTATAACTTAGTGTTAATTGAATTTTAGTCTTTTTTTTTCATGGTGGGGTATATTTTCTATATTTATGTAGAGTCATAAGTCAAGCCATTATATAGCAAATAACCCTGATGCAGATAGTAACTTTAAAATCATTCAATTTGTGAATGTTCTCTAGATGGACAATTGGTTACTATTCTAGGGTAGGAAGGCGATGTGGGGTTATGGCTATAATAGCAGAGAGTTTAGTTCAGCCTCTTAGTTAAAACAGTTGGGTTGTAGATTGGCTTAAGAACATAATCATGTATACCATTGCTTCTCTGTGAAATATATTCAGAGTTTTAAAGACTCAGTTTAATTAACAAATATACTTTTGGAAGTGAAAGTTGGGAATTGCCTTGAAATTGGTCCCTCAAGAAAGCAACTATTCTATAGGGGTGATTTTCTTTATATTTTGTGCTTTGATCATGTTACACTTTGGTTGCTTAAAAATTACTAATTCATCCATATGTAATTCAAATAATGTATATTTTGTAACTTTTTGTTAAACCATTCTATCTCCTATCATGATAGGAAAGGAATTTTATTCTAGTTATGTTATGAAACAGATGGCCGGTGGGATGAAAATGTTTTAAAATAAGTGTTTTAAGCTATAATTTGTTTTACTCTATCTAATCTGTTCATACTTTATTTTTTTTTTCAGCTTATCTAGCAATTATGATGCTCAAATGAAGAGCCTTTTAAGGATTGTGAGAATATTTTGTCATGTCTTTCGAATTGGTCCATCCTCTCCTAGTAATGGAATCGACATGGGCTACAATGGGAATAAAACTCCAAGAAGCCAGGTGTTCAAGGTCAGAAAAGTATATGACGTTGTTAGGAAGATAGACGTAAAAGAGATGAATTTGACAAAGCATGCATTCATTAATCAGAAACCTCATGAACAGGACGTAAGTTTGGTTTATACCCATATCACTTTTTAAGCTAGGCACACCTTTCTCCTTTCAACTCTGTCTAATCAACAGCAAGTCTTAATTGGTGAGCTTTCTATATTTTTTCTTACAAATAAGATTTTCATTCCATTAATGTTTTATTCTAAGGGTAGAGATATTTAATGTTTAAATTTAATTTTATTGAATTACAGTTTTTAAATGAAATATGCAGCCATCATGCTTTTTAAAAAAATGTATTTCTTACTAGGAAGGAAAGAAAGCATCCAGTTTTTATTTAGATTTTATTATCGTGTACGTATGTTAGGTGTGTGACTGTATATATTTTTAAAGTAAAGTTACTTTCATTTACTAGGTTTACTAACAGTTAATTCCTGGGATCACTTCAAGGAAGAATCACTGAGATTATTTTCTTAAAATATTACTTTAGCTGCACATATGGATGGAATCCTTGGAGGAATGATTCCACATAAAACCCATGGCAGTGTTGCTATTCATGTTAAATTATAATTTTATGAAGTAAACAAAATGAATA